AGGCTGGACAAGCACCAGTTTTGGCCAGGCATTGCCCATTGACCACCATTATTTTTTTCTCTAGTTTCCTGTTAATTCAAGACAAACGGATTTAAGAAACCAGTGACTCACTTACCAAGCAAATCTATTTTGTCTGAGATCATCTTTGAARACAAGAACACCAGCATAAGATACACCTACTAGGACTTCATCGTTATTGCCATCCTACCATATGGAGACAAAAATATCTGTTAGARCCACTGAAAAGGGAAGGAATAGGGTRATKAGAAAACGTTGGGATTGTTTGCTTTCAAACATCAACTTACAACTAATTCTTACTTAATCTAKCGKCTGCCAATAGAGGCTTTGCACCAWCATGTGATGGCAGCCTTGACAGGAGGCAGGGACAATTGAATCTGGTCTAATCTAATTTACATGAGAAAGAACTTGGTTTCCCAGGGGAATAAAAATTCTGTGGTGTTGTCTCCTATCATAGCTGCCATCAMGTGATGGTGCAAAGCYTCTATTCAACAAATAAAACAGCTATTTCCATGCTCCATTCAGTAATAAAGCACCCAGGAAGTGGCATAAGCACGAAAGAAGTTTAAAGAGAAGCACAAGCACACTTCTAGACCMYTGRWTCCAYCACTGWGAGTTAATAATGAACTTACAGTTGCTGGATGAGCATCAACKCCAAACATGGTCAGTTTTCTTGCTGCTTCCAGATACTGGGTATCACATTGTTCTGGAGTCATACCCCTGGGGGAAAAACAGAAAAATTAATCATGGTAATTGAACAAGTGGAATTTGAGTGCAGTGCAGCTTGGTCTGAAATCAAACGAATGGTTTATTATAAAATTGCACAACCATGTAACAGGAGTGCAATTTGCTAATCACAAGTTTAATTTCAGACCAATTGCACGAAACAAAGTTCTATTTTTCTGCAATTTCATTGAAAATTTCATCAAAAGAGTGCAATTTAAAACTCAAAATGGTGCGATTTGTGATTAAATCGCACTGCTGGGAGCCAATCAGATGGTAGGAATCACCAGTGATTTCAAAATGGATGTAATTAGTAGATAAATCCCAATAAAATCATTGAAAACAGACCCCTTGCAGCATGCTGGAATGCAGCTCCATTTGGAGGACATAACAATAGGTTTCCAATTCTCAAAAGATTGCAATTCTTTTGTTTTTTCCTCTAAATTGAGCACCTTCTACATCACATGCAAGGGATCTTTTCCTGCTTTCTCACATAAAGGAAATAACAAGAAAAAGCAGTTTTTATTGTAGGTGGACTCACTGCAGCTTACCTATTTTCTCTGTGCAACTCCTTGATCTTCTCAACAAGTTCATTAGTCTGTCAAGATAAGAACAAATCAATACTCCAGTCAAACTCCAGTCAAGAAAACCTTTTTTGAAATACGATAGGAACTTGACCTTTTCAGCTGGGGTACCATGTTTTCCCCTTAATTTTCAGACCACATGTCAACATTCCCTTGAGTATAAGATTCTTCGTTGACTAGTTGTATCCATAAACATGTTTTCTCATCCGTAACCATTAAACAAAGAAATGATTCTCTAGGGAATGACATGTGGTCCAGATTGGGAAATTATTACAGTCAAGTTGTAAAGTTATATAGTATATTAACATTGTTTAGATGTGGTTAAATGATATTTAGGCATTGCAAAAATCAAGAATGCTTGCCAGCAGCTTCATGCTCAGGCCATGTTACATGCCAGGGAATTCTGTAGTAAGTCTTGCCAATTGTGGCGATCCTTTGCTCTTGTTTTACAGAGTACACTTGTTAAATAAAAGCCAATGATTGTCTTGTTATGTCTTGTTATGTATTTCCCTTTTTGTATAATGAATGAGGGCTGTGTGTTAAAGCCCTGGCGTCTTACTGACAGTATTGTCTTCTGTGAGTTCATAATGTACCTGATTAGGACCAAAGATCATTCCTTCTAGATAATTGCCTCTGTGATCCCTAGGATCATAGTCTCCTAACTCAGCTGTTAATACGATACAAAAACAGAGATTAGGATACAAAACAGGAAAAKTCTACAGCTGAAGTGGAAACCATACATTGTCAACACTTTTTATTTATTCACGTTAAACTATTTTACAAAATGACACTCAATTTTCTGTCCACTACGACCATTTTTTCTAGCGCAATCATAATACACGGTCTGTGAATGGGTTTTAAAAGGTTTTTTTGCTGATGTTAGTACACTGCTATAGTCATGTATTACAGACGGGTAATTTCACTGCTTTCACTTGTAAAATTATCCAGCTATAATACACAACTAGCAGTATAATAACCTTTATAATTAATAAAGGAACAGCACAATCGTCATACTGTATGTTAAATTGAACTAGCTTTAAATATAATTTCGTGCTTCCAGAAAATTCACATACCCTACTGTGGAGAAAATTTGAGAAAAGGTCCCCCCCCCCACCTCTCTAGAATTTCCAATTTTCTTCAATAAACGAAGGTATAAAACCTTTTTCTTCTATTTTCATAGGCAATAACACAATTTAAACAAAATCAAATATTTTCTACAAACTGAATCCTAAATTCTGAAACATTCCAGCTTAAAATAGTCGAGCTTGTCAGACAACATAGTAATGGTCTTTGAGGAGAATCAGTAACTAATAAAATATTCAAATTCAAATTTATAATTATTATAACACAAGAACAATAATTCTTTTACTACCGACCTTGCACAATATAGGAACCAAGTAAAGCTTGTGATCCAAAGGAGCATGGCAGTCTAAATAAATAGAATAAAAATATTTAATAAGTGTGATAAAATATAAAATAAAAAATAAAAAAAGGTTAAAATCTCAAAATTATAATTTTGATAAAATAAAAAAGGTAAAGAAATCTCAAAATTATGATTTTGAATGATGTATTGAAGTCCAACTATGTGAAGAAACACTTTGCTAAAACTAGGTAAACATACAAATATCAAACATGCAAACTAACATACAAGGAAACACACTGAATTTCCAGTTACCTCTCACAGTTGATATCATCTCTGACTTGAAGACATAGCATGTACCTAAAACGTCAAACAAGAGATTACCAAACTGCTGGTGTCACAAACAATTTACATATTGGRAATTTATTGAACTCTGTTACCTCGTATAGTCGGACTTCAGTTGGGAAGGATACGGCTCATAGAACTTGACAGCAAGAATGAAATTTGGGGGAGAGCCTATAGACAAATCAGAATATATGATAAGCATAAATCTGATGAATCTGAATGTAGTGTGTGTTGAGTGAAAGTGAGTCAAATTGTAAATCACTTGATTCATCGACAAACTATAAAAATAATGAATTGATTTAAGGCCTAAATTGACATCACAGTCCCTACATATTGGATGTATAAACCTTGATATCTCCAAGTTGCCCCACTCAAATAATATAAAATTTTTTTGCCATTCAGCTATTCACTTGAAGCACAATCAATACTGAAAATATTAAGTTACGGTCTCTATATAGGCAGTTCATAATGAACGGTCAATAGACAGACAATGATTTCATACTTTCAATAATTTACAGAAATAAAACAAAAATATTGTTCATTGATGAATTAGATGTTATTAAATGAAATTTAATAGCAGCAACAACACAAGAGGCTCTCAGGAATCACAAAAAAAAAATGTTGGAACCTCTGTAAGAAGCTGGCTTCTGATTGAATGATTTGAAAAAATAATGTTAAGAAAAAAGCCTTGAAGTGTTCAAGGCTTGAGTGTCTGCACAGTAATATTTCCATATTTCAGTGATTGTTTATTATTTATTATTATTCATTATTCTATTATTCTTGTTCATGTGCTCAAAATTAGGCTGCATTGTCGAGCTAAATCAAATATAAACTCTTTAATAAATCCTTTAATTAACCCAAATACAAAATTCAAACTTATTTTATTTCATATTTCAGGGCCGTAGCCACTGGTACAGTTGGTCTGGTTTCAACCCGACCAACTTTCGGGGAAAAAACATAAGAAAAATAATGAAAAAATATAAGAAAAACTGAAAACCCTCGAAATCCGGACCAATCAGAAATTTGTGGTTATGGCCCTGTATTTTGTTTCTCAGTTCATAATTTACAGCATATGTCAAAACAAGACATGGCATATAGTCTAGAGATCACTATGGATAAATTAAACATCAAAACTACTAAYACTAGGTCACTTCAGCACAGTAGGACACCAAATGAATGATACGATCTTAACAGACTGTTTCTCACAGACACATAAATCATTAATAATTCATTGTCTATGTCAAACATAAGTCATTATAATATCACTTGATGTCACATTCAAATTTAGATATGACATCTATGAAAATATTCAAGTAGTTGGTACTTTTCAGTGTTTTACAYGAAGAAAAACTTCAAAATTTGTACTTCACTTTAAAGGCGAGTGCAATTAAAGAACTTTCAAAACATTACGAGTGTCTATTAATTCCAAATTGTACGAGAAGATCGTGCGATTTTTTGTTTATAGGTCACTCAACAAAATTTCAGTAAGAAATGCGAAGCGAAGCCGTTCATCTTTGTCTATTTGATTTTCAGTCCATCGCGCAACTGGAATGCATAAAAAAGATTAGTTCTTACGGCTTTAAAATTTTATGTGTTTTTTAAGTACAAAATGATAGAAAATAATTGTTTTGACATTGTTTTGGCCGTGTTGCCATAGCGACTTAATTCGGTACTCCTACGGAGAACAATTAACACTATAATTGTACTCCTCTCGACCAATCAGAGTCGAGTAATTTTGTTGAGTGTACTATAAATTTACTTAAAACTATCTGTCAAAGAAAATCAGAGAAAAATACTCAGAAAAATATCTGCTCCCAAATTAGATTTAGTTCAAAAATCATAATCTCAATATAAAGAATAATAACAATACAAAGTGATCAGAAGAAACAAAATATAGAAAAAATAAATAACAAAAATACATTGTATAACATATAAGAAAAAGGAAAGTACTGTTGCTAATATTTGCAATTCAAATCTTAATTCGATTTTCAGTTTAATTAGAAATTTAGTAATTAGTTTTCTCAACTTTAAATTAGGCATTAATTAAATCGCAYGTGGGTTAAAAATTATTTACAAAAGGATTATGCTAAAGCCAGTGTAGTGTAATAGAGTAGTATACACTTTAAGATCCATCCTGCTGATAAACGTTGTACATTATTTTATATGTATAAACTTTGAGTAGACTATGGTACGAGAAATCTACCCCCTGGTGTGATAGCTATGACATATTTCACTTAGAGACCTGTTTTGTCTGCCCTCCTGCAGTTTGCTTATACAATAATACTTAGCGTAGCCACACAACAAGTTGTTATACTCAATATTCAAAGAGACCACCAAAAGGTAAAGGCATATTCAAAGATGTRTATAGGAGGCCTCGTTGCCTATTAGCTCATGTACAATTTGAGTTCTTGTACTATCTATTTTATCATCACATAATCAGGGGATCATGAGAATAAAACACTCTTTTATTTAATTTATGTAAATRTATTTCCAAAAACATGTTGATAGCTGCACGAATGATATAAGTTGTGGTTTTGTAAACTGAGCCAGGTATTAAACTCTGTTTTTACCCATCTTATTTATGTATTTGTCAAGATATGCTTTTCAGTCAGTCTATAAACAAAAAATCTTTTTTGTTGTTATTAATTCTTAAAATGATTTGTTTTATTGATGAGTTTTAGTTAACTTTTGTTTGTTCATCTTTYCACGATTTTCATTATTTCGTTAGAAAAGTAAAAATTTCTAAATTAAATAATTAAAAATGAGCCTTTCTTTACTGCAAAATACTTTTAAGCCATTATTYGTTGCCTATTTATTTTTTTGTTTTTGATATAAGAAAAAGAAGTCACTGATTCAACATCTTGTGCAGTCACTAGCCTTTAGGAGGTTTTTTAACAAAGCTTTTGATACAGAATTTGATAGGAATAAAATAGTAGATGCATATGCCATCAAAATGATTTTGCAGAGCCATAGTCTTTTTAATAAACAGAAGTCTCTTCTCAGTTTTTTAAAGCTTTTTGATAAGAACCAAGATAACAAGTTGCCTGAGGTCAGTATACAGGCTTAGGCATATCAGAGTAGGATATGTAACAGACAAAACAAGAAATATGTCAAAAAATATATATATAAGAACAAYTACTAAAACTATATTTAATTCATTAAATATTGACACTCTTCTTATTAAAACAATACAACAAACTAGGYAATTAACCAATGTTAATATTAATAATATGAATATTCAGACTTCTAATAATCTAAAACTTTAATATTCTACAAATCATATACATTGAAGTATGATTTGTAATAGYTCTCTATTAAGATATATTTAACAAAATAATGTAGAAAGATATTTGTTTATTCGGAAGATTGAAAATAATAATAATAATGATTGATAATAATAATAATAATAATAATAATAATAATAATAATAATTATTAATAATAATAGTAATAATAATAAAAATAAAAGTTTAATAATAAAATTTTAAAATAGACCTATCCAAAATTTGCTTGACTGACCACGAAACAATGTTTTGAAGTCAAGACTGAATTTGATTCTTTGATTCTTTTATTTAACTTTTATTCCAACCTCGACTTGAAACCATTGTTTCCTGGTTAAGCAAATTTAGGAAATGTCAATTATAATATAGTCAAGTAAATCCTCGCGATCTGATTGATTGAAAAGCATGAACCTTTTGCCCATGGGTTGCACRCTCACATCAGCTTTTTTTGCTTTGGTGGAAAAATTTTTTTTTCGTATCTTTTTGCTGACAATTTATCTAGAAAMGATAACTGAAAAAACTAGCAAAAGTACTCATCAATCTCCGACATTTAGTATAGATTTGTYATTTRATCAGCCTAGTAATAAAACGTCAAGATTTGCATCACTTTCAAACAGTGAGCTGGACAAGATTGTGTCAGAGTGTCACTTCAAAAAGACAAAGCAAACCACAAATTGGCTGCTTCGCGTCATGCAACTCTTACACTTTTCATTCTGCTTAGAAACCTCCCATGTGCATCCATAACTCAATGGACGCACGCTACTTATGATCCATTCCTTAATTAAAAGGCTTTCGATTTAAATGAATTCYATTATCTTAAACTGTTTCAGGAATTGCATAACATTATGATTCCACTATGAAAACCGCAAAAATTACATGTCATTTAAGATAATCATTCATTATTTYAATTTGAAATGTTATAGCTCAAGTGATAAAGTTCTGATAAATTACCTAATTATTGGACATTTACTGCACTGCACCAGATCAGAGCACTGCACCAGATCAGAATTTAATGTCACCTGAAATGGGCCAGTGCACATAATCTAAAAATATATTGGTTTCTTCAGGTAACAAACACTCTCTAATTGATCTTAATTCATAGCAACTTTAATTAGGTATGTAGTTATGATATTCTAGCTGGTGGGTAATTAAATTGAAAGCAAATGTTTATCCGGTATTTCATCATTTTTTTGTATCATTTATTTTCAATAAGTAGACAAAATAATTTACATTTTACATTTATCTTACATTTTGATAAGATGACCAGAAATGTAAAGGTTGTCTGTTGAGCGTGGATGCGATATACCACTCACATTCGACATAAGTGACCACAACACACAAATCACTCAGTTATCATTATGCCAGACATTCTGTCTAGAAAGTCCTACAAGTCAAAGGGTATTAAGGTAATTCTATACCTATGGATTTGGTTTTGTCAAGGTGAAAGGAAGGATAGTTAAGAGGAAATGGTTAGGAGGTGTTCAAAATAAAAATGGTTTACGGCTAATGTAAACATAAAGTAGAAATAAGAGGATAATTTGCATTCAATATCCTGGACGTGTGTTGACTCTAGCCTAATCTAGAATCACTTCTATTCTTATTGAATATGGAAATCCAGCTTTACTATGGATTACAAGCCAGACAGCACAAAAATAATCAGCTATGGTTGATTTGTGCGACTGTGCTGTGACAAGCATTATGATTAGCAACCAAGGGCAGCGGGATTCTGGATTGAAGTTAATTYTATCATCAATGATTAAATGTGCAAATCTAGGGTGTGGACCAGCTTTACATGGAAATTAGGTCCATTAGGCCAAAACTTATTATGTCTGGTGTCTCGTCTAGAAATTACAGGTCTGAAACAAGCTCACCTTTTAGTTGCTTTTTGATCTCCTTCCTTGGATCGAGCCAGTACTAGGAGATAAAAAAGCACCAAGTCATGAGGGAAGAGATCTGATAAATGTTATACGATATGACACTTAMTGAAGCACCTACAACAACAAAGTCATGCTACACTAAACACCAAAAAACAGATACAAATTATCCCATGAAAAGTACGAGAAAAAAACTATAAAAAAATAATAAGGGATTTCTTTGCCATCCAACTCAAAGCCAAGATTTTGTATCCCTCGATTCTTAATCTATTGATCAATTATGGCTTTCAGTTTACGSTAACCGGGAGAAAGCACAAAGCACTTGATAAGACCTGAAGCGCCTTGAACAAACCCCACTCATACAAACGTCTCACCTTTTCTTTTTTGTGGTCAAAAAGCAATCCAAAGTACTCTCTCTCTTGAATATTGAGTTGATCACAGACTCTTCGCATAAGATCTAAACCTTTGGAGTTTTTCTGTGGGTTCAAATACAAATGAAGCTCAACAGTCAAATAAGCATTTTGAACAAAAACAATCTTTAGAGCATCAAAWAGGCTTATAAAAAGACCTTCAGAATGATCCTAAAGTGGGAAAAAATACACCTGTAGCCTTAATAGTTTTCCAATTATCAATATTATTCAATACATTAGGAGGAAATAAATCGTAAAAACTGTTGTCCTTTGGTCATAATGTGAATAGAAAATTTGAACAGTTGATACCCAAACAATTGTACATAAGTCTTATATTCGACGTGCACAATAGGAAGGAAAAAAACAATTTTTGAATCCATAAACAATTTTTCTTAAACTTAATTTATTATGAGGCTACTAGAAAAATGATACTGTATTAGCTTTGCTAGTCGTTCAAGAAAAGGAAAAAATATAAAGCACTGCAAGCCAACGCTTARGACAACAAACACAAAGCACGCTACAAGATACGATAGCAAATATTCAAACTATATTTTAGCTAAAGAAGATTTAATAGGAAGCTAGRACAAGAAGAATTTTGACGCCATTTCTAAACAGTTTTATTTTTCAGTTGAATGTTAGTTTTTCCGAGGCCAAATAAACGAACCGTCGTCAATCAASCTCGCAAGGTTTTTCCAAATGTACGAGATAATGTTTTGCAAAACACAGCAGATCAAAGGCATTTTATCCAGGTATCCATCGAAGTCAGAAATATWTTTCCTAGAAATTAATCGTCTAGGAAACGACAGAGAATATATCTCGCTCGTTTTTTGGAAATATTTGTTGGGATTAAGATATTCTTGCGTGACTCCAACAAGAATGGTAGAAATATTCAAAAATACTAGYTTTGCGACGAAGACTTCAGGTTTTTGCAAACGAAGGTTTCAGTCCAGATTTCCTGGGTCTTCACAAATTTCAAATCAAAAATAAAATAATTCGTAGAGCAACGAAAAACTTTCAAAACTCACCGCTAGTTCAGCCGTCAGGAAATTTTTATCCAAACACGTTATTCTACACAGTATCCGATTTTTAGGGATCTTTTTCTGAACTTCCTTCGGAGGAGGAGCATCTTTTGCTGCCTCTTTGGGTTGTTCAGGCTCTGGCATGTTGATTTTGGAGAGAAATTACTTGTAAAGACGGTCAAGAGTGTTATTTTTGAGYTGTCTTTGCACACCACACCACAGTATTTTCCAATCGACCTTGGCAAGTTTTGGTTGGCGATCGAAGCTTCGTTTCGTTCGGTTAAACTTCTCCCTGACCACGTGATTAGCTCCTRTTAAATCCAACCAATCAAAAACCGCTTTACAAAACCACAATTTTCTAACCCGTTCTGTGATTGGTTATTGGTAATCCCGCCAATAATAGTCTGTATATGGTAATGAGGTAAAATATGTTGGTTAGTCATGCTAATGAGGTGAGTATACTGGTGAGTAATGCATGTTGGTTTACACAGCGCACCCAGATGATGATGTCATCACACGTGGAATCCAAAAGTTTATAATATAATAATAAAGTTCCCATTAAAGAAATTTATCTTTATCTTTCTAGGTAAGTGTAATGAAATCTAGTTTTTTCTAAAAAGAGAACATGCATAAAATAAATGACTGACAAAAGGACAAAATACTCGTATTCTTTCAGTTCCGGTTTTATTATTGAAGCACGCTAGAGAGCCACGCCTATGAATCTTATTGGGGCTGAACCTTTACTGATTCGTGAGTTTTTTACGTACTTTCGACCTTTATTTACGATTGCTATATTTGGAAACTGGATCATTCCTTGGACACTGGCAGGACGTACCCTTGTGGCTGCATCAAACTTGTTTTTGTGGGTGAATATTCGCAGATTTCATCTCAACAAATAAAAGCCCACGAGTTTTAACTTTGAAGTCAACCGAGATAAGCTAGACAAGAACCGCATGATTCTTTTTTTTTTCTTTCTTTCTGTCTTTCTTTCTTTTTCTTTTCCTGCTTTTTTTTTCTTTCGTTTGTTTGGTTTTTTGTTGTTGTTACATTGTTTTCCTTCTGTAAAAATTTTAATCCTTGTTGTAAATCATGGCTAATTGTGAATTGAATCAATGAAAGAAAATATTAGATCAATTTTATAGCAATATTCCAATAAAGGTTTGAGGAAAATCTATCTTTTTCTCGTGAATTCTTTTCCTACACGGTTCTACATAGGTGGGCTTCACAATTCCCCATAATATTATGAGTTTTATCAGAGCAACCGCAGTTCATTTGAATTCTTTAAATAYATTTTTGAATTCTGTTTTCCTCTTTTATACTTTTTAACTTTTTAAAAAAAAAGTCGCCTGCTGTCAGCCTTGACAGAATAGGTCTTGCTATATACCCCCAACCTGTTCCAAATAAACTATATTATTCAAAATTTCTATATTTTTAGTATAAAACTGAGTTCATTGTTGATAAGGATCCTACTAAAATTTTTACGTTACTCAAGTTTTTTTWAAATTAGCTTAAGCGGCCTAGTTAATCATTTATGATCACAGAGTTTTTATTTTATTTTGAACCGACTGTCGTCCGGAATAATAATTTCATAACAAAATTTGTAAAGATAAACATAATATATTGAAGTGGACTACGATACTCCCGAAAAAAATCCCATGGTGATTTTGATATTTATTTTTGAGTTTATTAGATGTAAACTCCTCGTCATAAAGCTAAAGGTTTTCTCGTGATATCTACACTAATACTGACGGGCGTTGTATAAATATTGATCAAGATTGACTTTGATGCTAAAGTACAGCCTCAAACAATAATTCCTAATAAATTTATATTAACACCCTAACAAACTACAATTATTGAAGCCGACTCGATGTCTGTATTAAAGTCAATGTATGGCGTCTATCGCGCTGTGGCGGCTAGAACACTTGAACGTTATTGCGATAAAATCAAAAGTTCATTTCCGATTTCTTTTCCATTGACAAAAATCATTCAATAAAAATTTCAAGGGCTTTGAGAAGAAGCTTATTTGTTATGCWACGTTTGTGAATGGAGCTTAGTGTTTAGACAAAATAATTTTAACGAAATCACGTGAGTGCCAGCAAGACTGCACATGGCGACGTGCAGTATCGAAGGGCGTTGACAGAGGAACATCGAGTAGTCGTACTGGGGCATGCGCAGTTAAGATAAAATTTAATTTAAAAAAAGTAATACTCTATTTTTGAAATTTGTTAAATTCGTTTATTTATTCACCCGTCAGTGGATTTAAAACACTAATGAATCCAAGGCAAATCAAAATTTTATGATATAAAGAAACGCAGTTTAAGGCGACGAACACAGCCCAGTTTCACTAACAGCATGGCTGAATGAGTTCATAGTCAGTACAAGTCTTTCAAAATATACCTCTATAGACTAGCAATGTTACAAACAGGGGAAAGAGGACATGTTAAAAAGATCTCACAGTCGATGTCTTATCATGATCAATCTGGTCTGGTTCGCAAGCCAAGGGCAGGGTAAGGCGGGCGCAAGCACAAGCCCCAAGACGACGGYGGAAGCACTAGCTGTACGTTCATTGTTATGTGTGCGCAAACTGCGCGCACTCATATCCAAGCCTGACATTCTTATCAGCGAGGTCGTGGACTTAATACAACAAGATTTTGGATTTGTAGCTTTTCAAAAACCTTCTTATTCCCTCCTAGCAGAGTCTTTGCTAGCAGGAACCCTTTCTTCATGAAGACTCTTAAAACTCCAGTGTATGCTGGCTTAGCCTCACTTCTGAGGTCGGTTAACAAAAGCAGAAATTAGAATAACAAAAGAAGCAAGTCTTGGACTCGAGGTTAAGCCTGCATACACTGGAGTTTTAAGAGTTGTCAATAACACAGACTGCATGTTGCGTGCAAACATTTCCTATCCCTCATCCCCTTGGGAAGATACACAGATAATTGCCCYTTTCTCCCCAAGTAGGGAGGGGACAGGAATTCAAAATATCTCCACGCAGATTCAAGTGCTTTAGCGGTAAACAAGCAGTGTGAGTTAGCGAGTGGGCCGCACGTGGCACAAGCCTACTACAGAGTTTGTTCAGAGGCCATCGTCTTTCTGTTCAATACTGTTTCCGGATCCAGCGAATCAGGTGGAAGTAAATTTTTGTCTTCCAATCCAGCCGGGCTTCCAATTGATGGTTTTCAACCATTCCCAAGAGAACTGATAACAAGAGACAGCGGCCATGTTGGAGGATATAACAAAAGAATTCGTTAACAATTCTTTTGTTACGTTCCTCCAACATGGCTACCGTGAAAACCATCAATGCGTGCGCACTCGGCTAAAAACATGCTCATGCTTTAGAAAAATAGAACTTTTAACTAGGATTTGATAAGCATTTTTTAAAAAAATGAAAATGGGATTTGGGATGGGATGGGATCATGCTCATGCTTTACAATACAGGGGTCGCGGAGAGGTGGGAAAGGCTACAGCCCCCCACTTTTTCCCTTTTTCCCTCTTTCCATAGTAGTGTCTTATATTTTCCAATCTTAGCCCTCCACCTCCTCCCCCCACACACTTTTCCCCACACTATTTTCATATATTTTCCAACCTTAATAATAAATACAAGACAATACAATTACAAGAAGTGTATTATTAATAGCACTTTATTAACTATAGTATCATTATATGTATTACTTTAAACAAGGGTTCTTAAAAATAGATTTTGTTGAACATGCAATCTTATTTTATTTCTGGTGAAAAATTGAAAGATTTACATTATACTATTACAAACTATACCAGGGTAGATCCAAGATCTTCACAAGGGAGATTCAAACTGGGAGACCAAACCAAAAAATATATTTTAGCATGCCCCCCACCTCCCTCTAGCTTCTAGTTAGGGGGTTTGTACTYGTACTATGTTAGAACAATGGCTTGTGGATGATCGCACAAAATAAAAACAAAGAACAGTAGGGATTTTACTGACATAATTTTTTATTGTCCACAAATATTGCTCAGCAAAATCCCTATTGTTTTTCCCTCATACAGTTCTACATGTCAAATGTGTTTTTTTCTGTGTTTGTTACTGTCCCTAATTAGTAGAGCACTTGTGCTGATCTACTAAAAAAATTGGGGTCCTTCTACAATTACTTCAAATGGTTTCCTTTATACCTATCTTATTCTTTGTTAGCTTTGTACTATCTTATAATTTGGGGTGTTACAATTTGTTGTAGTAGAAGATTTGACAAGAAAATAGAGTTTATTATTATTTACTTTGCTTCACCATTTCTTTGTTATTTGAGCCGATCACAAGCTTTGCCCTACTAACAGCAAAATTTTCCATTTCGGTCCAGTCACGCAAGCATGAGACAGTTGACAACCACGTTTTTTTAATTGACTATGTATACCCCTACAAATGCTACTGGTTTAATTTCCTGTCTGATAAACTAAAGTTCAATGATAATACCTAAGAGTATAGCAAAAGCTTGTTTGACATTGTAAGAGGATCAAGACAGTTTACATTAGATTCTTCTGAAAACACCAAGTCGAATATGGCAGTTTGGGCATGAGTGAACAACATCTTTGCATCCATCAACACAGAATGGAATAAGACAACAACCAAGCCAACATCTAATTACACAAAAAATAGCATGTCAAGATTATTTTAACAGATATTGAAATATATATATATAGGCTACTCCAAGATGGGGGGTACTCTTGACCGTTTAGGGTAGGGATGTGCCRCTGARCCCTCGGAACCCTGTTCCTGTTCCAGAGTAAAATCTCTGAAATTCATACCCTGTTCCAAACCCATCCCACAGAAGAATTTGGAATTTCTGAAGGGTGGGGGTCAGAGTTTGTATGGAAAAAAATTGGAATTTCCTGGGGTAYGGGGGTGTTTAAAAAAATTCCTCTGTGAGGGGGTAAGAATAATTTCTGCAACTACGCAATAGACCTCTTTCTCTAGAGAAAAAATTAACAGTGATAAGATATAATACTCTGCTGAAGGACTAGCAGTAAGTTTTTACATCTTTTCACGGTGTATAATTTACCTTTTTATCATTAGTGATAAGAAGATAGAAATATAACATCGATAAGAATGAACAAAAGAGAATAGACCCTTGAGCTTGAATGAAATGTTTTCTCATTTCAGATCACACGTTATTCCCTAGAGTATCCTTTCTTTGTTTGACGGTTGCACATCAGAATATGTATGAATATGGATACAACTAATAATTCAAAGAATCTTATTCCCAAGAGAATGACAAGTGGTCTGAATTGGAAAAACATTACATCAAGCATAAAACATCTTTTTGTATAAATTGATAAAACAATAGACCGATCCCAATTATGCTTGAGTATCAACACAAACAATGGGTAGTTTTCCCAATGAAATACAGATTGTCYGACCAACAAACTTGAATTCATAGGAATTTTTAGCATTTAGTTTTAGCATCATAAGAATTCTTAGCATTGAATTTAAAACAGACATTTACATCTTTCACAATCTGTGTCTGTTCCATGCTTTATATCAAAAACACATTTTAGCTTGTCCGATGTAGCAACAGTATTATAATCAGCAATATAAAAAGTAATATTGTATTCATAATTGCATTGTAGGCCTAAAATCACCTACCCAATGAGACACAAGCCACCAGCAGCAAGCCAAACAAGCGTACCATCTTCATAGTTTGTTGCTGTTACGATGTGTGCTTGACAATGAGGGCAAACCATGCTAACAGGGATTTCTCGGTAAACCACATTAAGGTAAACAGGACCTGGCTGGGTGATTATCGTCGTCGTAGATGTGGGCGGTGGTGGTGGTCCATATGCTTGGTTTTTTGCTGAAGGGTCTAGCATTGAGACAATGGGAAATCATTAATTCAATTAATTCAATGTATATTTGGCCATTGGAGGTAAGGGGTTACATTATCATTACATTACATTATCAATATCACCTCCAATGGCCAAATATACATATATATGTCAGCAGATTTTTGCACAAGCTACCGGCCTGGAGATGTATTTGTCTTAGGTACTTGTAATTTCTATAACCCCTGATCATTGACATTTGCAATAATAACATAACAAAAATCTGGTTGATGAGAATGAGCTGGTGCTTAAAATGATATACCACTGGTCCTAGTGTTCGGCTGCTTATTTCCYGTTGATCTTGTGGGGAAAATCCAAGATGGCTGCCGGTAGCTGGAGTAAGTACCTAAGGGTGCCTTTAATCATTAGCACATGTCAGGGGTTGGCAAAATTGTAGTGGGGGTTACGTTTTGAGAAAGTGGTTAGGAGGATTATCAAATATTGAGGGGGGTTGAGAACTATTGCACAGTGATGAAGGGGGGGTTATGCAATTATTGCCTCTACCATGGAGGGGGGTTGGGTTATGTTCRTTAAAGCTTTCCATGTGATTTTGCTGACCCCCATTCCACTAGCCTGCGTTCAGCYAGTTTAATTTCCTAGAAATAAGGACTGGSTGAACGCAGGCTACCATTCTCCATGTACTGATAAATGAAAGCCCCCTAACAACCCTGAGAAGGAAGGGGGTAAAGAAAGGAAATACAGTGGAATSCCGCTCTAAGGACACCCGCTYAATAAGGACACCTCGGTATTAAGGACAGGTTTSAAAGTCCCAACGAAAACTCCATACATTTTCTGTTGAATTAACCTGCTTTATAAGGACACCCGTTAATAAGTACAAAGGACACATTTCTAGGACCTGAATGACAGTTTCCATACCAAATCAACCCCGCATTAAAGACATTATGAAATATGAAGACGTCTTTACTGTATTTGTTTATTGATATAATGAGCTTAGTACGGATTATATATTCAGTTTTTGCGTATAAACGAACGGACCACACACTGATCATTGCAGTAGACTTTGCTGTTACAGTAAAATGAAATAGACAAAGCTYGCAATACCATTGCAATGTTATTTTCCAGAACTCAACTTAAAATGAAATTGTACAATACAGTTCAGTAAATGCGAATGTAGTTCTTGTACAGTAATGCACTTTTTGTTCCAGTTTAGGCTGTTATATCGACCATTGTAGTTCAAGGTTTACAGTACAGTAAAAATAAATGGTCAAAAATGTGTTTTCAGCTGTTTTTCTGACACCTCGGTTAATAGGGACACCCCGTTAATAAGGACAGTTTTGTCCTTCCCAACGGTGTACTTATTGACGGGGTTCCACTGTAGATCTAAGCAGGGAACATAGGAAGAAATTTTTCTAAAACATTAACATTGTTAAGACAACAGCAACAAGAGAAACAAACAGCAGCATCACAGCAGAAGAAAATTTATTGAATTAAATACAAATCAAGGAATATGTATATGAGAAAATAAGGACTGCAAATAAAAATTAATAAAAGGTAGTGCAGCTATCTAAGTGAAAGTCAAAATATTTTGAGYACTGAATCAAAGTTAAAACCTTCACCAGAATTAGTATGGTCATGCAATAGTCTCAAAACGAAAATGAAAAACATTTCTGGATTTGTATTTAGCTCGTTCTAGGTCTATTCTAAGGATTTAGGACCTTGATATTAGGCAAAAATTATTATCCTCCTAAAAATTTACTGTTAATAGTTAATACGCTTAAGTTTTAAATACGTGATTGCTGGGGATCGATCGAACAAAATATTTCGAAATGGAGGTCACATGATCCCTATGTGAAAATCTTAAAAACAAAAAATATATAAAAAAATTAATATAATTCTAAGTTCATCCTCAAACACCAACGAAATAATCACTATAGAATTCATCAATCTCTTAAAAACCAACCTATTAATATCAAAATTAAAGTCTTTACCATTTAAATGTGTTTTGATTGGGATAGCTACTGATATTGAGAGCAAACGATGGCCGAGTGAATTTTGGTAGAAAAATTACGAATTTACAAAAAAGCTAGGCAACTAGATAGAATGATATCTCACCAGTAGRGGCATACGGTGGTGGAGCTGCATATCCAGGCTCCCCTTGAGGGATTGCGCCGTAGTTATAAGCAGGAGGTTTWGCTGGATCTTCCATCTTTTTGGTTAGTGAAGACTCACGACCTTAGTACAGTGTGCTATTTTTGACGCATACGTAATCATACGAATTATAGAGGGGAGGAGAGGGGAGGGTGTCTACCTTACATCGTATTTAATTTCAGATATATGAATATTATTTTGAAATCAAATCTCAAAGATATAAATATATATAAATATTATTCTGAAATATGCTTTATTAATAATATAGAATAAAGACAGCGACAAATAACAAAATAAATGCCTTTTGCATTTTAAATTCAGGGAATCTCGACCCATATATTAYATTTAGAACATAAATGACACCTTTACAATGAAATTTTTTTTAAAGACCATATGTACAGATATTACAATGTATTTAATAGGTCATTCCATCCACTGCTCTACCCTGCCAGCCCTCGTGTGGAGAAAGAAGGCTGGGGAGGGGAGGGTGAGGACAATTGTAAACTGATTTTTAGCACAATTTGTTTTGCGTACAATTTTACGTCATTTAATCGCTCTCTTGAAGTTCTTCTTGATCGAGGAGTTCCTCCTGACGGCCTACTACTTCCATCATTACATCCATAGCAAAGCAAAGCCCCAACTCTCGCACGAATTTTTCTTGGATATTCAAGTCACTCTGTTGAATATCCAATAATTGTCGCTCAAGGTCTTTCCTCAGTCGCTTGAGTTTTTGTATCTTCTCTTTGCTCATCGGCATCTCTGACAAAAAAGTGTCTATCTCTTCGCCTGTAGTAATCATGATTTCATAAGCTTCAAGCCATTTCAGTCCCTTCATAAAGACCTGGCTAAGGTTCATAGAGTTTGAGTCCCATCGATCTGGCCTGCAGTGACAAATAGCCGTCAATCCATACTCGTTGTCAGGCCCAAGACAGTGATTTTCAAAGCTTGCTCCAAGGATATTACCTTCAAAGTCCTTTAATGGAATATCAGGCTTTGAAACCACTAAAAATGGACAAGAACATGGATAATTGTTGGGCAGATAGCATCGAAGCGTATAGCTCTTGCCTAACTTGTTCGTAGATGCTTGCAGTTCAATCCTGACGAAGCCAGGTTCTTCCAAAAACGAAACACAGTCGCCAAAATCATTTCTCAATGTCTTCTTTTCGAATCTATATCTGGTCGCTTGTCGAGCACTTAGTGGCCACAATTTTGWGCTTTTCCCGCTTGACATATTCTGAAAATATAATTCAAACTGACTATTAAAAAATAAGAACACGTCTGATAGTTTCGGATATTACAATCTATACTAGATCATAAGAAAATCTGCTTACAAAGCAGATATTTTCTGACCCAATGAAATGCCAATGTTCGATAAAAAATCCCTGTTACGTCATCGTCGGGGAAACCCCATCCTATTGACGTCACATACTGTTAGACAATAAACCATGTCTATATCAAACGTGGTAGGGACCTCTATTTTATTGGTTGAGTAGTAATAACAAACTCAACCCCCTCATGGACTACTTTAATACTGCGATTCCTCATAAATATGCTTCAGCTTGGTATTTGTTTTCTGACTGCCGCCAGTCAAAAATATAAAAGGTACCGAAATGGTACGTTTTTGACACCAGCGAAAAACCAATCCCAGGCAGAATATCGGAAAATTGCAGCAAAATAATATTCAATAGAGCAGTTGCRTGTTACGTCATTGCCGCCATCTTGGTTGATGTTAGATCAACCAAGCTGACGGGTTTTTCCTTGTTTTTCGTATCTCAAGGGATTTTGAGTCACATGGTTGCACACTGTATTTCCGGCATAACAGAGATTGCCAATGGGGGTACAGAAACAGACAATACGTTTGTTACTGTCCTTTGTTTTGAAGATACAGTCGACTCTCCCGTAAGCGACCACCTCGGGGCCAGGAGAAAGTGGTCGCTTACGGGAGATGGTCACAGGAAGCTACTGATCATTTATAATTTGTAACTCACGTGTAAAAACTACTGTATTAACGATTAAACTGTTTTAATCAAAACTTTGAATGTGCTATGTATATGTTCATAGTAGTGTAATTGTCAATATTTCGCCGGTTTTTAATACCCGATGACTCTATGTTCTTAATTTTTTTATTGTTAAAGGATCTGTCACCATTGCTGGCTCTTGGGTGGTCGCTTACGGGAGAGGAAAAACAATGAAAAAATCCAAAATTTTAACCCCAAAGGTAGTCGCGGTTGCTTACGAGAGTGGTCGCTTACGAGAGTGGTCGCTTACGAGAGTGGTCGCTTACGAGAG